GTCTTCAACATCCTGCACGCGCCGCCGTTTGGCGAGTAGCCGCGTCTTCTGTGATTCATGCTCCTGGACCACACGCTTGGCCTCGTCCAGTGCTGAGGAGAAAAGATCCTTGGCCTTCGTGGAAAGGAGCTCCCGCAACTGTGTGGTACGTTCTTCGATCCGTAGGCGATCATCCTCGTCCAGCTCCAATCCTTCAGGCATGTCTGAAAGGAGGCCCAGATCGAAGTCCAGGGTGCCCACCTTGCCAGAAACGAGGTCCTCCAGCTTGATCCGCGCAGGCACAGGTCCAGGTTCAGGTGTGGCAGCTTTGCCCGTGGCCGCAAGCTTGCGGGCGAGCTCCGCGTGCTGGGTGTCCATGATCTCCAACTCTGCACGAAGGCCCATGATGTAGTTCTCGTGCTCCTGCAGCTGAGCCTTCCACTTGTCGTGCTTATCCAGTTCACGAGAGAGCCGTTGAAGGAGCTTGTCACATTCACGTCGCGATTCTGCCGGTCGCTGTTCCATGGTCTTCTCGATGACTGGGGGGGCAGGCTTTGCCAGGATGTTGATGCGCGCCTGAACTCGCGTGGCCAAGTTCTTGTCACCCGTCTTGTTGGCGATGGCCAGCAGAGAACCCAACTCAGCAGCATCCAGACCATCAAGGTTCGTCCAAGCCAGTGCTGGCGTGGAGGAGTTCGGCCCTGGCTGGAGGCCGGCGGCCAGCGGCAGACGGTGCTCTGAACTCTGACGGCTGTCATTCCACGACTTGTCTGATCCTGACCACGACCTGCCTGCCCGAGACGGCCAGTGCTGCGGCTGGGTCCATCCTGGCTCTGGTGTGCGATATGAGAAACAATGTTTGCACCACTGCCATCTTTCCTCGTTGCGTGCACATCCGCACTGACCACATCGCCACGCAGGCCCTGAGACTGGGGGCCTGTGTAGCTTGCGTCGTACAACAGTGGCTTTCTTATTCGTCGACCCGTCCGCTCGCCAAGGGGCTGAGAGCAAATCATCCGTTCCCATCGGCGTGCCGTGGCAGGCAAGAATAAGAAGGTACGTTAGTATGCCTGGCAACGCCAGGAGAGCAGTTGGGGCCGCGTGCACCTGAGAGGTGCCCCCTTGCCAGAATGCTCACGTCCGCTGCTGACGCTTGAGCCAAAATGGCTACGGAGGGGGAGGGGGAGGGGGAGGGGAAGGGAGGGAGGGAGGGAGGGGCACGGACGACCACGAGGGGATAGCAGTATCCAACCTCATATCCCTTCTCCTTCCTCTCCCCCAGCTCCTCCTTATCGTCATCCTCGTCCTCCTTGTCGTCGTCGTCATCGTCCTCCTCCTCCTCCTAATCCTCCTGCTTATCCTTCTCCTCCTCCTCCTCCTGCTCATCATCATCATCATCATCATCATCATCATCATTATCATCATCATCAACACCAACATCAACATCAACATCATCATCATCATCATCATCATCATCATCATCAGTATCATCAGCATCAGCATCAGCATCATCATCAGCATCATCAGCATCGCCATCATCATCATCATCATCATCATCATCATCATCATCATCATCATCATCATCATCATCATCATCATCATCATCATCATCACTAGCATCATCATCATCAGCATTAGCATCAGCATCAGCATCAGCATCAGCATCAGCATCATCACCATCGTCATCGTCATCATCATCATCATCATCAGCATCATCATCATCATCATCATTATCATATCCTCGCCTCCTCCTCCTTGTCCTCCCCCTGCGTCTTTCGGAATTCTTGGTCGCATCGGTGTCGGATTCCCTGGGGAGGGTCTGTAGGCGAGCAGGGGGAGGGAGGGAGGAAGGGAGGGGGATGGAGGAGGAGCAGGGGGAGGAGAGGTCGCAGGAGGCTCGAAGAAGAAACACCGCGTAACCAGAAGTTGTCGACAGTCTCGGATTCCCACATGGTTGTCCGAGTAGATGGGGTCGGAGGATCGCGCCGCATCGCCGATGCATCGCTGATGCGGCTCGATGCGGAGACATATTTTTTCCGCACTGGTGTCGGGAAAGCACCGCCTGCGTCGTCGATGCATCGGCGATGCATCGGTTTTTCATCGGCGATGCGGCTTTATCTCCCGACCCCATCAACTCCGACCCCATGCAGGAGGCCTCTACGGACTGCGGAGGGCATGAGCAGGAGGTGAGAAGCAGGGGGAGGGGGAGGAGGAGGAGGAGGAGGAGGAGGAGGAGGAGGAGGAGGAGGAGGAGGAGGAGGAGGAGGAGGAGGCTGGCGAGGAGGAGGAGGAGGAGGAGGAAAAGGAAGAGGAGGAGGAGCATACGATACGATTCGAAAGCGGTTGGGGCCATGCGTCTCTCTTGTCTCACAGTGCAGTTGCTCGTGCGGGAGGAGGCTCGAGGAAGACCACACGGCGTACATTGAAACGGTCGACAGTCCGCGCAGATTGCGTGGATCTGCGTTGGAGCCCCCCGGGGCTTCCGGCGCCGCGGAGTCTGGCGCAGGTCAAAGAAATCCGGGCGGGCCGTCGAAAGTTTGCGTCTATGCCATGTCCTCTTCATCTAAAGGCGGAGGGAGAAGGATGGAGGAGGAGGAGGAAGAGGAGGAGGAGGAGGACACGGGCAGGGGTGGACAGTCATGATGAACCTTGAGGATGTTAACAAAGGACTGGCACGCCAAGCACCCTTGTGGCAAGCCAAAGAGGGTGACAGATCTAGTATCTAGTGGCCTTCGCCGAACCGCCCCGCCACCGTGCCTTGGTTGTGGACCAGATGCCTCTTGGATGTCTCCTGGGAGTTTCCTGGCAGTCTCGGAAGCTATCATGCCATCATGGGGGACAGGGCTAGTGTTTCCCTTCCGTGGTCCGTTTGATGGAGCCCTGGGTCACCTATCGGGGCTTGGAAGTCGCATTTGGACAATATTGTGTGTATATCGGGCCGACCAGAACCGAAAAGACGAGAAGTTTGAGTCAGTGAGACCAGATTTAGGTGTTCTTTTCTGGGCCACTCCCGGGGCCGCCAAGACGGCCCAAGAGGTGTCAAGGAGGGTCTCAGGACGGGTATTGGTTCCATGCGGAATCATGCTGGACGTGTGGACTCCCAACCGCACCCCCGAGGCCTCCAGAAAAGTCACGCACCCGCGAGGCAGAGCGCCCAGAAACTTGGGCCGTGGGCCCACTTAGGATGCTGAGTCCGCAACACCATACTCCGAGTTTCTTAATAAGCGTCGTGGGGGCGTCACCACCGCCGACAGCCCCATATCGACCCCCGTCTCGGGCAGCCACCGCTTGCCAAAGGCGCTCCGACCCCCGCCGCGGCGCTACGACGAGGCGAAGTGATCCCTCGTCGTGGGGTACCCCCTCACGCTTATTAAGAAACCCTGAGTATTCAACACAGGGAACACGACGGGACCTGAGGACACGCCAAGCAAAGCTTAGTGTGTTATTGTGGCGGACGCTGGAGGTATCGATTGACATTGCATCCGCTTGTGTTCGATCTGAGTCCAACCGATCTGGGGTGGACAGAACCCCCACCCTGACACGTCGATTAGTGACATGTCCGTTTTCGGTTCTCGAGAGGGCGCCGCGGCCGTCATTTTCTGGTCTTGCGCCCGCCAGGTTTGGGCCCGAGGTCGTTTTCACTAAACCATGTTTTACTAAAGGGGGTTCGGTCCATCCCCGAATCGGATCCACCAGTTACACGGATGGGGAGAGGGCGGGCCCCTTTTCAAAACGGGACCCTCCGTTTTTCTCATCTGGGATCTCATCGCGAGTGGATGGAGGCGGCTCCGCTTTTCGCCTGAATGGCATGCCCCCTGGGACGCTCGCCTTTCAAGATGCCGTTCCCCACAATCGGAGTGGGCTCTGGGCGGGAGGGTTTGCTGCAGCATCGTTGATGCACCTTGGATTTTCTATGGTTGTCCTTCTCGGCCCCTTCCCCTTCCTCCGCCTCGCCCCCCCTGTTGGCGCGGGGGGCGATGCGGGCCTCGTTCTCTTGCTCCTCGGGACACCTGCCGCGAACTCGTCGCAAGCGTTGTGGCCGCGGGCAGCCCTTCCCCCCCTCGCTGGCCCTCCGTCGTCCGTCCCTCCCTCGCTGGCCCGTGTGTAGCGCACCTTTGGCGTCGGGCCTCGCCGCCGAGGCAGTTTTGGGGGGGAGCGACGGCCATCCTCCTCGTTGCCCTGGGCTCCCTCGCCGTCCTCGCCTGTCCCTCGTCGTCCTGCCCCAGCTTTCCGATGCGGGAATTTCTACATGACCGCCGCCTGGAGGGTCCGTTTTCGGAGCCCTGGCAGGCGGTGGAGAAGGACATACTCGGGTCCATGGGGGCCGAAATATATCCACAGCCACCGCCCGCTGGGGCACCAGGACGTCGGTTCCCAGGCGGTGGATATGAATAAATCCCCGCCTCGCCAGATTCGCGACGCGTTGACGCGGCCCCGGCGCGGCCGTTTGTAGATTTAACGCCGCCGGTGGGCCAGAGTCGGCGGACGTGTCGGAGACCAGCGCCGACGTCTTCACGACACAATCCTGCTGTGCCTCAACACCTCGGGGCGTTCTGGGTTTCCTGGACCTATGTTCCTCTTTCTTCGTGGGGTGCACGTCTGGAACGCGGAAGGACTGGGGTTCAAAGTTGGACGCTTCCAGTGGTCCAGAACGGGGCGATACCGAGAGGTTTGCGCTATCGGAAAGCCGCGATCGTCCAACATTGAGCGAGCCAAGAAGTGTCAGAAACCAATGATCGCGTCATCGTGACGTGAATTCCTCGTACATGACGAGGGCTACGAGTAACCATACTTTCGGGAGGGGTCCCGCATGTCCCGCATGTCCTTCGTGGTTGGGTTATCAGTCTTGGAATGTTGGCATTTTATTGGTAGTACTGGGCATCTCCATGGGGCATTGCCGTGCCATTCGTATTCTTGGTATGCGTTTCGTTTGGTGTATCTCCTTTGGGCATTGAGCCTTCAACGAAGGGGCTCGTGCGCTTTTTCCGCGGTCTTCTGGCCGCGTGTCCACTGCACCCGAGGTGCTGGCCTACCAGAGCTACGTAGCCGCGAGCACCCGCGAGGACCTGTCCCAGGCGGCCTTCGTGGGCCTTTCCGGGAGACGCGGCCGCCGGCTCGCCTTGGCGCCATCGCCGTTGTCGCGTCCGTCCCTTGCGTCCTAAGGGAGTCTGCGGATGGTGCTAGGCGAAGTCCAACACCAAACACAAACAAAAAAAACGCGTCCGTCCCGTCTAGGCGGGCCTTCGGAGGCCTTGCGCTGGGCTTGCGTGGTCCTGGGCAGAGGGCCGTCGCACGGCTGGCCTCTTGCAGGCTGATCCAGCAGCCTGGGGCTTGGCCGAAGTGATCGGGAAAGGTGGGCCACCCCGTGTCCCGAGGCCTCCCAGATGGGGTGCGAGCAGATGGGGTCGGAGGATCGCGCCGCATCGGCCATGCGGATGGATGTGGATCCCGAGTTTCTCCACGCCTACGGATCCGATGCATCGCCGACGTCGCCGATGCTTTGCCGATGCATCGCTGATGCATTGGCGATGCGTCTCGATCCTCCGACCCCATCTGCTCTCACCCGATCTGGGAGGCCTCGAATGTCATTGGCCCCTGGCCGCCACTGTGACCAGCATTCTCCTCTGACGTGGCGGACCGTATTTTAGGTCAGCCGCGGGTCCTGCCTCCGCAGGCGGGTAAGTAAGAACAACAGGCATTCAACGTCTTTAACAGGGCTGGACCTAAACGCTGGTTTGCTGGACTTCGGCTGTGTTTTGTTTTTCGTATAGGCAGGGAGGTACAGGACAACAGGTAGAGCAAAACGAAAACACAACGAACACACAACGCTTAGGTCCAACTCAGGTCTTCAAGGCAGACGCGGCCTTGCTCACAGGAAGACATGTCCTTCTCACATGCCTGACGCTACGGTGCCGACAAGGCGAAGCCCTTGCCGGCGACAACAGCAGTCCGATGTCCGACGCTTGGAGAAGATGAAGGCAGAGGGAGGAGGGAGGTTGTAGGATCGAGGTTCGAGGACCGATGTGTGTGGGTGTTCCCCTCTTTGGGGGCCGCTTGGACCTTTTATCCCAGACACCCGACGGCTCGAACAAATCGAGACTACTGTTTTTCTGCGATTTGGCGCCTTCGGATGACAGCTTTCTTTTTGCAGGACCGACGATATGCCTTTGCTGAAAAGCTGGCCCCAGAGATAAGGTCGAGAAGGTTCGGGGGGTCCGTGTCTCGAGTAATTTGCCCCCCTCCTCCTCGTCCCCCCTTCTTCTCCCTGTCATTCCCCCCCCCTCCCTCTCCCAAAAAACTGTTGCGCCAGGAAATGGAGCCGCAAGCGCTGGCCGCGCGCGCGAAAGGGGCTGCCGCGAGAGGGACATCTTTCGTCAAGAAACCTGGAAGGCGCCCGAGGAGGCCAGGCGCTTCTCAGAAGCCGCCCCGGCCTCCAAGACGCTCTCCAGGGATCGGGGGCGGAAAAGAGGGGGTGATGACTAGGGGGGGTGGATATCCTGGCGTGGGCCATGATATTTCCTCGGATTTCATGGCGCCTGTTCTTCTTTCATTACGTCCCTGCCCCCCCACCCCTGGGCCGCGCACGTGCCGCTGGCCATGGTTTGCGCCCCCCCCTCTTGGACGCCCCCCTTCTGGCCGCCCCCGAAGGGGGCGAAGCGGGGCGCCCCCGCCTTCTCAGCAGGCCACTCCCCCTGCGTGCCACTGCGGGTGCCCGAACCAAACCCGCGGCCCCCGAGGCGCCGAGGCGGGTTGTCATAGATGGCGCTCCCCCTGGGCACCGACAAAGGGGGGGGGCGCCCCTGCCCCGGGGGGGGCCCGCGTCGGCCTCCCAGGCCAGACGGAGAGCAGATACGGCCAGAGCCAGGGCGTGCGTCGGGCGCCCCCGTCGAGTGCAGGCGGCCCCGAGGAGGGGGCCCAACCGTGACCTCGGGCCAACTGCGGAACCGCCAGCGCGGAGAACGAGCTTCCGACCCGAGGCGCTCTGGCGTCCCCGCCCTCTCGGTCCGATGCGTCCTGCCTTCTGGGCCTCCCAGATCGGGTCGAAGCAAGTTGGGTCGGGGAGTCGCGCTGCATGGAGGAGTGTATCTGTGCGATGAGACTCGATGCAGAGACCCAGTGTCTCAGCCGGCGTCGCCGATGCGTCGCCGGCGTCGCCAACGCATCGGTGATGCATCGGTGATGCATCGAGGGTGCGGCGCGATCTTCCGACCCCGTCCACTCGGAACCCATTTGGAATGCCTCTGTTTGTGCGTCCTCAGAGGAGGGAAAGGAGGAGGAGGAGGAGGTGGAGGAGGCGGAGGAGGAAGGGGTACCCTGGCACCTTGGCCCGCTCTTGGGCGCCCTGCGTCATCATGTGGGAGGCTCACGCCGCGGTGGCGCTGCGGCGACCATAGCACGGGCGCTGCAATTTGAGCCCCGCTAGTGGGCCGGAAGCGGCGGACATCGGAAGACATTGTGGTGAACATCCGAGGGGGGGGTTGTCCAAAAGGGGTTGTCCAGGGGGGTTGCCCGGATTCTTGCAGGGTTGTCCAAAGGTTTTTTCGGCGCCGCGTTGTTTTGTCAGCACGTGCGCATGTCCTCATCATACATGCCATCAGAAGCATGGAGCATAGTACATGTTTGTTGGATCATATCTGTTGGATCAGACTTTTGTGCATTGGATTCTTCCATGGAGCATCGTACATTGGTTTCGCCGGTGGCGTGGCAAAGTCGGCTGCACCAGCGCAGAAGCTAGACGGGGGCACCAGGAACGACTCGTGCCAGCATGCCAGGATGGGGAGGAGGCAGGGCGGGCGGCCTCAGCAGAGGGGGGGAAGACAAGGCCTTTGGGAGGCGGAAGAGTTCTCGCCCGAGTGTGCTGGCGCGGCCAGCCCCGCCAGCGGACCCGAAAACATACACGTACACTTTCGGAGCTCCGCGCGGGAGCTTCGTGGACCCCTCTTGGGTACGAGTGACACTTTCGGAGCTCCGCGTGGATTTCTTGGATCGGTGCTGGCCCCCCTGACGGCGCCTCCGGCATCGCCCCCGGCGCGCTCCGCGCGCCAGGGAGGTGGGGCCAGCGCCGATCCAAGAAATCGTCGCGGAGTTCGACAGTTTCTGTTCATGCTTTCTTTTCCCCAAACTATGCTTGCATCTAGGGGTTTTCACTTTTCTTACTGAGGAATTGCTTGGATCCGACAAAGATTTTGGTCGTTGTCGCCCGTGGACGCCTCGTGGCCGCCTCGTGCGCTGGGTGGGTCCGGCTAGGTTTGGCCACCTTGCTTTGCCGCCCCTCATCGCCGCCTCGTGGCCGCCTCTTGCGCTGGCTGGGTCCTGCGAGGTTTGGCCACGTTGCCGCCCGTGGACGCCACGTGGCCGCATCATGCGCGCACTACATACGGTAGCTTACACCACACTCATGCTCTCTACTGGTGATTCTGCCTGATCGTTCATTTGTCATACGAACCCCTTAACATCCCAGGCAGGCCCAGTATCGTCCCCCCTCATTCCCGTCAAATAATACGATGCACGTGAACTCATTTATCTCACAAGTTCATGTGTCAAGGACCCCTTGCATAAGTACACAATGTCTGCACGCGCGCGGACATGTCCCAATCTTACCAAGTACAGAAGCTGTGCAACCATATCAACGTAACACCTGCAGCTCTTGCAAACCTCTCGCCCGAGCGCATTCGATGAATTCTCCAGAAACTTTCTGATCTTGGCCATCTCGCCTTGAACAGCAGTGCTGCACAGCCAGTGCATCCGTGTTGATCCATCGTGCGCCCACTGAGTGACTCCGTATCAAACATTTCATGCGGGCCAAGCGCGCGCGGCCACGCGAGCGTGTCGAAATCCTTTCAAAACCGTTTGTTTCGAAACGTTGAGGCGATTCAAGACCGTATGGAAAGCCACATTCACCATCACCGCTTCAGCGCCGCCGCAACACGTCATCGTCATCGACAATTGCTGCAATTGCCGCCATCGTCACTCAAGCACCTCCGTTATCAGCACATGAAACTATTCTCATCGTCATCAGCGTTACCAGCATCAGCGCCGTTATTGGCCTTGCCGTCGTCATCGATGTCATCGCCACCACCATCGATACTATCATTATCGTTGCCATGCTCGGCGTCTTCATGATTCCGCCCCCGCCCGAGCCACCGACCCGCATTGAAGCGCCAGCGCGGCCTCCGAGACGTGTTGGCAAGTTGCCATTGGTGAGTTCCCTCGCGGCCGTACAGGCTGTGCCAACCCAGCTGGTCGTCTTGCGCGCGAGGTTGCGCGCGCCAGCGCGGCCGCAGAGATGCACCAGCCAGGGCCAAGCAGTCATCGCAATCGCCGCCGAGGGTGGGATCATTGCGCGAGCAGTGGACTCAAGCAGCGCATGGCTCACATAGCTTACACCACATAGCTCTCACCACACAGGTTCACTTCACCACGTAGATTGCGCCGCGCAGCTCACACCACATAGTTGACACCAGTTATCTATATGTATACACAGTTCCATTTATATTGGCGAATGACGATTGCTGCATACCGCGGCCGCCAGGGCGAACATGGGATAGGTTCTTGGGTGGGAATCTTTCCGAGCCAAGCAATTCGAATAGCGAGCATGATCTTTTTCTGTTTGGAGCGATCTCCTCCCCAAGAACAAGAGACGGGATACCCAGGTAACGCCCGCACACTTGGGGCCTGGCGGCCGAGACATGCAGTCGCCAGTCGTCGAAGACGCGAGGCGGGACATCCGGAGAGCACTGGGGCCCGCGGTATGCAGGGTTCTCTCCCATGGCAGCGGGTCCCGAGGTTCTTCGGCGTTTTTTAGCTCTCGGGTCGGGAGCGGACATAGCCCCCACCCTGACACGTTGATTAGTGGCTTGTCCGTTTTCGGTTCTCGAGAGGGTGCCGCGGCCGTCGTCTTCCAGGCTTGCGCCCGCCAGGTTTGGGCCCTCTTTTTCACTAAACCACGTTTAATTGAATGGGGCTCTGTCCATCCCCGATCGGGGCCCTCCACGACGAAAGACTCAGGACTAGGAACTCGTCAGAACGCGACCCCGGGGTCCAGGACCCCTTTTCCCACAGGACCCGCTGCCCCCATGCTCAACTGGGTGAGCGAGGCGGGTCTGCAGTTCCTTCCCTGCTTGTCGGCCTGGGAGCGAATGCGTGCCTTCTTCAGGGGCAGTCGAGCCGCGATTCCTCGGTATCGTTTATCTAATCCCCATCCCCATGCTCATCCCCTTCGAGACTCCCATCAAATTACCACCCCAGTTGGGGATACACCCCTCGAAACCCGAAGGGAACGACCTATATCCCCATCTAGGGGGTAAACCGGCCAGTGGTGCCCAGGCCACGCCGCTGGGGATGGGGATCGGTTAAACGACGCTCACTGCCTCCCCGGTCCCCGCCAGGAACCTGAAGGAGGAGCTCCGGATCGTGGCCTACCGCCTGCTGGTGTGCCAGGAGGGGCACGCCGCCTCCGAGCCCTGGAGGGCCGTGGCGCCAGCGAGGGGCAACGTTGGAGGGGGGGGGGGGTCAGGGATGATGGGCTGTTTTCCACCACCACCACCATGAGTTGGAGGGGGAGGGGGTCCTCCTCTGGCCCAGGGGCAACGTTGAAGAGAGCCGGGTCGAAGTTCGAGGTTTCGGACGTTTCCGTCGGTTCTCGGCGCCTTGCCGGCGCTGGGGTGCTCTGCAGCAGCCGCGCCTCGCCGAGAGGCTGTCCGGGGCTGTCCGGGGCTGCGCGGAGCGCTCCGAGCAGCCGCCGAGGCGCCGAGCTGCGACCCGAGAAAACCACTGCGTTTATGATGGGCCTGTCTTCCACCACAACCATAAGTTGGAGGGGGGAAGGAGGTGGAGGACGAGGAGGAGGAGGAGGAGGAGGAGGAGGAGGAGGAGGAGGACGACCCCCTCCCCCTCGAACTTATGGTGGTGGTGGTGGCAAACAGGCCTCATCTTGGCGTGTCCCTCTACAGGAGGAATGTTCAAACATGGTATCAAAAACACATAGTCTGGGGACGATTCTTTGATCATGTTTGACTAGTTGGGGGGTTTTGTTGCCTGACTGCTCTTAAATCTTCGCTCAAGATCCGTCTGTATGAGGGCATGCCCGACCTCAGGATAGGCCCACGGAGGGACGCAGCGACACCCAGCCGTCGGTGGATCGCCGACGGGGGCCGGGCGGCCCGCCCCGCCCGGGCGCGTGCGGAGTCGCTGTCGACGGCCTGTCGCCGATCCGTCGGCCACGCATCGCCCGTTCCACGTCGACGTTTCCCCGGCCTGAGCCGGTCCCAGGGGAACAAAAAGTGGCATTTCTCGGATCGGCGCTGGGCCCCCCGGCGGCGCCTCCGGCGCCGCCCCTGGCGCGCTCCGCGCGCCAGGGAGGGGTGGTCCAGCGCCGATCCGAGAAATCCGCGCGGACCTGCGAGTTTTATGTTTATGTCACTTTTTGTTCCTCTACGTGCCCCCCCCCCATCGACGTTGCCTCTCACGCCGCGGCCGGACGGCGGCGCCCTTTGTCGTCCAGGTCCGCGTGTCGACTCTCGTGGCGCTTCTGGAGTCTGGAGGTTCTCGTCGCCACGGCTGGCGCGACGCGACCCGGCTAACCCTCGTCGTCATCCTCTCCCTCTGCCTCCTTTCCCTCTTCTTATTTCTCGCTTGTTATCTAGTAGCGTCGTGGTTGTTCCTCATTTCCCTCCTGCTCATCCTTGCCCTCCTCCTCCTCCGTCTCCTGCTCCTCCTGCTCCTTCTCCTCCTCCTCTTCCTCCTCCTCCTCCTCCTCCTCCCCCTCCTCCCCCTCCCCCTCCCCCTCCTCCCTCTCCTGTGCCTCCTCCTCCCCCTCCTGTGCCTCCTCTGCCACCTCCTCTCCGCACCTGCGGCGTGGCCTGGCACGGTGGGAAGGCGGCCGGGGCAGAGGCGCGCTCCCCGGCCCGGGTCGGGGGCTGCGGCCCGCGGGCCTCGGGGGGCTTACATCTGTAGGCCTCCCGGGTGCGGTCCGAGCAGACGGGGTGGGAGGATCCCGCCGCATCGCCGATGCATCGACGATGCGGCTCGATGGGGAGCCCGTGTTTCCCCGCACCGACGTCGCCGATGCATCGGTGACATCGTCGATGCATCGCCGGCGCAGCGCCGATGCATCGCCGATGCATCGCCGGCGTAACGGCGATGCAGCGCGATCCTCCGACCCATCCAGGAGGCCTCTATTACAGTGGAGACCCATGCCAAGAAACACCCTGTTTGCCTCCAGGGTGCCCTGGGTTTCTTGGGTTTCGATGGTTTTGCCCAAGACTTAGCGGCGAGACTTCTCAGAAGGCCAGGGGACTTCCGATCCTTTTGAGAAGGCCTTCTCCTTCTCACTTCCCCCCTCGCTCGCCGTCGAAACAAGGCGCGAACGTTCCTTCTGAGAAGCTGGTGGTTACTTTTCAGTACATGTTCCTGGCGCGCCTCTAAGAAGCATGTGGCTTGCTTCTGAGAAGCGGTTCTTGCTTCTGAGAAGCAGTTCCGTGCTTCTAAGAAGCTGCTGGGGTGTTTCCAAGAAGCGCCGTGCTCCTTCGTTGCAAGATCATCGACCTGGGATGGGATAACCAGAGGGGTCCGGGCGTTCGCGGCGGCGAGCGCGGCGGCCACAAAAAGGGGGCAGGTTTTTGTTAAGGAGGGACATGGCTGCCAGGGGTCGCGCGGCGGGTCATTCGGCCGTTGTCCGGTTCATTGGCAATCCTCACCATGTAGAGCACGTGGGGCACAGCGGGAGTCATCGGGCTCCCCCCGCCGCTTTTGAAGTGTAGGCGCGAGGGGTTGGGGGGGGATGAAGAGGACGTGTGAAGGCGGTGATGGGGGTTATGATGGTAGGCGCCCCAGCCATTCACAGTCTGGCAAGTGCGCCCCAGGATGCGTTCGCTTCGAGTGGAACTCGCGCGCCAGAGTGGCAGCGCCCTGCGCGACCCGCCACCCGTTGCGTTGCGCAGCTGGTGCTTCCAGCGCAACAGGGGCGCAGGGCAATTGGGTCGCGCTCGCTCGTTCGAGCTGTCCGCCTCGGGCCCTGCCAAGCCCCCCGCGAAAGCCCCGTACTCATGCTCGTCGCGCCCCCCGCTCCGCCCCCCCCCCGCCAGGCCCAATTATTTCGCGCGCTGCCCCCGGCGCCCCGAAGAGTCCGCAATAGGTGGGCTGTGAAATCGCCCTCCGCGCATGCCGCCCTTGGCGAACAGGGGTCGCCAAATCCCGCTTCGCGCGCGGGGCGCTGGCGCCCAGGCGCCCGCGGGCAATCCGAGCAGGCTTCGCCGTTCCAGCGCAGGCGGTCGCGGTCCAGGCGAAGCGGCCGCGAAGCAGGGGCGATGTTTTTGTCAAGGGCGGGCGCCGGCGATAGGGTTCGCGCGGGGGGGCGGCAATTGTTATTCATCGGCAACCCCCGCCGTGCAACGCGCGCGCGGGGCGCGGCGGGAGTCTGCGGCCCTTGGCGGCGCCCTGGAACGCGCGACATCGCGCGTTCGTTTGGTTGAGGACGTGCGGGGGATGCGGGGGCGGTGGGGATGGGGGGGAGGTGGGGTGGGGCGGGGTGGGGCGGGGCGGGGTGGGGTGGGGTGGTGTGTGTGTGTATGGCGTGTGCGCGTGGTGTGGTGTGGTGTGGTGTGGTGTGTGTGTGTTTGTGTGTGTGTGTGTTTGTGTGTTTGTGTGTGTGTGTGTGTGTGTGTGCGCGCGTGCGCGTGCGTGCGCGCGTGTGTGTGTGTATTGGGGGAGAATGGCGAGAAGGGTGCTCGACGTCGCGGCCGGGCCCCGTCGGGCAATCGCGCCGCGGCAAACGATCGTTTCGAGTGGAAGGCGCGCGTCAAGGCGGTACCCCCCCGTGCATGTGGCAAACTGCCCATTGCGCCGCGTCCCTTTTCCAATGCAAATGGTTCGCGGGGCAATGGGGGGGGCGCCTGCTCGCTCGAGCCGCGCGTCTTGACCCTCGCCCCCCGCCCCCCCCTTCTTTCCCCCCTTCAGAAAACAAACAAAACTTCATGCTCATGGTCGTCGTGCGTTCGCCCCGGCTCGAACTATCATGTTCGCTGCTTCCAGTGCTTCCATGGGTCCGAAGGGGGGGGGGGGCAGGGGGGGCGGGCGGGTGAGCGGGGCGGGCGGGTGGAAGGGGGGGGATCACCCGTGAAATCAGGGGTCGCCGATTTCTGCCTTGCGCGCGGGACGAAGCGGGGCTCTGGCATGCGGTCGTCGCAGAACGTCCACGTGGACATGTTCAGTCTATGTCGGCACCCGAGGCTCTTGTGGGTCGACTTGAAGTCGCCCATGACAGGTTTGGTCGCGCGCCGGTTTCGTTCGGCGCCCTCCCCCCTCCCCCTGTTCATTTGGCGCATGTTCCTCGCCCCCACTTCCTCTTCATGTGCCCCTCCCCCCCTGTGCCGCCTGCGATTGCGGGGGCGGGGGCGGGCGGGGTTGGGCGCGAGAGTCATTGCCCGTGTCCCGGTTTGCTTTCGCGCTTCCCGCCCCCGCGCGGGGACGCCGCCCCTGCGCTTTGGCGCTCGAGGCGCCCGGAGTTTCATAAAAAATGCACCGCCCCCCTTTTCCCTTCCCGACTCCGCCTCGGGGTGAGGATGAGGAGCAAGGGTCGGGGCGAGGGGGGGGCGGGGGGGGGCGGCGGCGCAGGGCGGGGGGCGATGGCAGCGAGGACGAGGCAAGGAATGATGTGGAAGGGGGGGGGGGTCGAGCAGGGAGACAGGGCGACGCCAGGGGCGAAAGACAGCGGGAATGACAGCGACAGCGCCGAGCGGGATGGGGATGATGGGGGCGACGCGGGCGACGAGCAGGGAATTCTAAACGCTTCGCGCGACGCCACCAGCTCATCCAGCAACGATGCCCAGACGAGTTGCACTGGTTAGGGAAAGAGGGGGGCGCGCAGAAGAACCAAAGGACCGCCGTGCTCCTTGAAAAGGGGGGGAAGGGGATCGGGGAAGGACGAGATGGAGGAGGTAGGGATGAGGGAGGGAAGGGGGGGGGGGGGGGGGGGGGAAGTGGAGGGGGGCGAGGAGGGGTAGGGGGGTGAACGACCAGAGAGGATTTGTTTTTTCCAGTGCGCCGCTGCCAACCAAACTCCAGAGTGCAAGAGATGCAGGGGTTGCCAAACGACCAGAGAGGAGGAGGAGGAGGAGGGGGAGGGGGAGGAGGAGGAGGAGGAGGAGGAGGAGGAATCGGTAGGACAGTATCGAGGAAGCGGGGGGCGAGCAAAAAGGCCAAAGGCCCTTTGGATGCCTTTCCGGGGTGTCTTCGGATGTCTCTTGGGAGCTCCCCGGGGGCCTTTTGGGGCATCTTGGGGGGCCTCTTGGCGGCCCAGGGGCTCGGGTGCCTCGGGGAACCTTGTGGAAGTCTCTTGGGGGCCTCTTGGGGGGCCCTTTTCGGGGTCTCTTGGGGGTCTCTTGGGGGCCTCTTCGGAGCATCTTCGGGCCTCCCGGGCGCCTGGTCGGGCAATCTTGGAA